TATATCATGTAATATAGATAATGTATTGTATCACAATGTAATATAAATAATAATATAATAGATGTAATGTAATATAATGTAATATATATAATGTAATATAGATAAAGTATTGTAACACAATGTAATATAATTTAATGTAATGTAATATATATAAATTATACTTACATCGTCATTAACTAGTTAATTAATTAATTAATTAGCCCCTCTGCTCCCATTATCCCGGCACATAAATTATACTTACATCGTCATTAACTGGTTAATTCATTAATTAATTAGCCCCTCTGCTCCCGTTATCCCGGCACCGTGGATGCTCCCAACATCCTGGGGGGCCTGGAGCGATCCCGAGGATCCCGCACTGATCCTGAGGATCCCGCACTGATCCCGGGGGTCCCAGGTTGACCTGGGGGTCCTGATTGATCCGGGGTGTCCTGATTGATCTGGGGGGTCCTGATTGATCCAGGGGGTCCATATGGATCAGGGGGTGTCCCAGATTGATCCAGGAGATCCTGATTGATCCGGGGGGTCCTGATTGATCTGAGGGGTCCCACATTGATCCAAGAGTCCTGGGACTGATCCAGAGGATCCATATGGATCAGGGGGTTCCCAGATTGATCCAGGGGATCCATATGGACCTGGGAGTGTCCCAGATTGATCCAGGGGATCCTGATTGACCTGGGGGGGTCCTGATTGATTCAGGGCTTCCTGATTGATCTGATGGGTCCGACATTGATCCAAGAGTCCTGGGACTGATCCAGGGGATCCATATGGATCAGGGAGTGTCCCAGATTGATCCAGGGGATCCATGTGGATCAGGGGGTGTCCCAGATTGATCCAGGGGATCCATGTGGATCAGGGGGTGTCCCAGATTGATCCAGGGGATCCATGTGGATCAGGGGTGTCCCAGATTGATCCAGGGGATCCATGTGGATCAGGGGGTGTCCCAGATTGATCCAGGGGATCCTGATTGATCTGGGGGGTCCCAGATTAGGAGGGATCCTGGCTTTGAGGGGCTCCCAGATTTTGGAGCCTCCCAGGTTTTGGGGTGATCCCAGATTGATCCAAGGGATCTCATGTTGATCTGAGGGGTCCTGGGATTGATCCAGGGGATCTCAACTGATCGGGGAGGGGGTCCCAGGATTGATCCAGGGGGTCCTGGGTTTGGGGGATTTCCTGTTATTCTGAAGAGTCCTGGATTGATCTGCGGGGTCCCAGACTGATCCAGGGGGTCCCAGACTGATCCAGGGTTCCCACACCGATCCAGGGGGTCCCAGATTGTTCTGGGGATCCCAGATTGTTCTGGAGGTCCCAGATTGATCTGGGGGTCGGGTCCCAGATTGTTCTGGGGGATCCCACACTGATCTAGAGTATCCCAGATTTTCAGGTGATCCCAAATTGCTCTGGGGGATCCCACACTGAGCAGGAGGACCCCACATTGATCCGGGGAATCCCAGATTATGGGTAACCCCACACTGATCTGGAGGATCCCACATTGATCTGGAGGACCCCACATTGATCCGGGGGATCCCAGATTTTCGAGTGATCCCACACTGATCCAGGGGATCCCACACTGACCCAGGGGATCCCAGATTTTTGGGTGATCTCACATTGATCTGGGGGATCCCACACTGATCTGGGTGATCCCACACTGATCCAGGGGATCCCAGATTATCAGGTGACCCCACATTGACCCAGAGGACCCCACATTGATCCAGGGGATCCCAGATTTTCAGGTGATCCCAGATTGATCTGGAGGATCCCAGATTTTCAGGTGACCCCACATTGACCCAGAGGACCCCACACTGATCCAGGGGATCCCAGATTTCCAGGTGATCCCAGATTGATCTGGGTGATCCCACACTGATCCAGAGGATCCCACACTGACCCAGAGGATCCCAGATTGCTCCGGGGGATCCCACACTGACCAGGAGGACCCCACACTGATCCAGGGGATCCCAGATTATCAGGTGATCCCAGATTGTTCTGGGGGATCCCACAATGATCCAGGTGACCCCACATTGATCCAGGGGATCCCAGATTTTCAGGTGACCCCATATTGATCCAGGGGATCCCAGATCCTCAGGTGATCCCAGATTGTTCTGGGGGATCCCACAATGATCCAGGGGATCCCAGATTTTCAGGTGATCCCAGATTGATCTGGAGGATCCCCCACTGATCCAGGGGATCCCAGATTTTCAGGTGACCCCACACTGATCCAGAGGATCCCAGATTTTGGGTGACCCCACATTGATACAGGGGATCCCAGATTTTCAGGTGATCCCAGATTGCTCCGGAGGATCCCACACTGATCTAGAGGATCCCAGATTTTCAGGTGATCCCAGATTGCTCCGGGGGATCCCACATTGACCAGGAGGACCCCACATTGATCCAGGGGATCCCAGATTATCAGGTGACCCCACATTGATCTGGAGGATCCCACACTGACCCAGAGGATCCCAGATTGATCCAGGGGATCCCACACTGATCCAGGGGATCCCAGATTGCTCCGGGGGATCCCACATTGACCAGGAAGACCCCACATTGATCTGGAGGATCCCACACTGACCCAGAGGATCCCAGATTTTCAGGTGATCCCACATTGATCTGGAGGATCCCACACTGACCCAGAGGATCCCAGATTGATCCAGGGGACCCCACACTGATCCAGGGGATCCCAGATTTTGGGTGACCCCACACTGATCCAGGGGATCCCAGATTTTCAGCTGATCCCAGATTGCTCCGGGGGATCCCACATTGACCAGGAGGACCCCACATTGATCCAGGGGATCCCAGATTCTCAGGTGACCCCACACTGACTCAGGGGATCCCACACTGACCCAGAGGATCCCAGATTTTCAGGTGACCCCACACTGATCTGGGGGGATCCCACACTGATCCAGGGGATCCCAGATTTTCAGGTGACCCCACACTGACCCAGAGGATCCCACACTGACCCAGAGGATCCCAGATTGCTTCAGGTGACCCCACATTGATCTGGAGGACCCCACATTGCTCCGGGGGATCCCACACTGATCCAGGGGATCCCAGATTTTCAGATGATCCCAGATTTTCAGATGACCCCACACTGACCCAGAGGATCCCAGATTGCTCCGGGGATCCCGATTTCCACAGGGACTGGCGGGTTGTGCCAGGAATTCCCAGGATTCCCGGATTTGGGGTCTTTCAGATTGTTTTTGGGGGGTGTGGGGGGTGTCCCTACCATGGTGCTCCTCGATTTGAGGCTTGGGTTTCTTTCGCAATTTGGGTTTCTTCTGATTGGCGGTTTCCAGGAGGTGGCGGATGTGCCGCGTCACTGGGGAGAGACGGCCGGGACGGCCCCGAACACACGGAATGAGAGACGGGAACGGAATCCCAGGGAAAGAACGGAGGGGAAAGGAAGGGAAGGGAAAGGGAAATAACAATGGGAATAACAATGGGATGAAATGGGAATAAAGGGGGATAAAATGGGAATAAAAGGGGATGAAATGGGAATAAAAGGGGATGAAATGGGAATAAAGGGGGATGAAATGGGAATAAAAGGGGATAAAATGGGAATAAAAGGGGATGAAATGGGAATAAATGGGGATGAAATGGGAATAAAATGGGATAAAATGGGAATAAAGGGGGATAAAATGGGAATAAATGGGGATGAAATGGGAATAAAAGGGGATAAAATGGGAATAAGAATGGGAATTAAAATGGAAATAAATATGGAAATAAAATGGAAATAAAACGGGAATAAAATGGGAATAAGAATGGAAATTAAAATTAAAATAGGAAACGGAAATTAAAATGGAAATAAGAACGGAAATAAAAATGGGAATAAAAATACAAATAAAAATGGAAATAAAATTGGAAATAGAAATGGGAATAAAGAATGGAAATAAAAATGGAAATAAGAATGGAAATAAGAATGGAAATAAAAATGGAAATAAGAATGGAAATAAAAATGGAAATAAGAATGGGAATAAGAATGGGAATAAGAATGGAAATAAAATAGAAATAAAAATGGAAATAAGAATGGAAATAAGAATGAAAATAAAAATGAAAATAAAAATGGGAATAAGAATGGAAATAAAAATGGAAATAAAAATGGGAATAAGAATGGAAATAAGAATGGAAATAAAAATGGAAATAAGAATGGAAATAAAATAGAAATAAAAATGAAAATAAAAATGGGAATAAGAATGGAAATTAAAATGGAAATAAAAATGGGAATAAGAATGGGAATAAAAAGGGAATAAGAATGGAAATAAAAATGGGAATAAAAATGGAAATAAAATGGGAATAAAATAGAAATAAAAGGGGATAAAATGGGAATAAAATGGGAATAAGAATGGAAATAAGAATGGGAATAAGAATGGAAATTAAAATGGAAATAAAAATGGGAATAAAAAGGGAGATAAAAAGGAAAATAAAAAATGGAAATAAAAAGGAAAATAGAAAATGGAAATAAGAAATGGAAATAAAAATGTGAATAAGAATGGAAATAAGAATGGAAATTAAAATGGAAATTAAAATGGAAATTAAAATGGAAATAAGAATGGAAATAAGAAATGGAAATAAGAAAAGGAAATTAAAATGGAAATAACAATGGAAATAAAAAAGGAAATAAGAATGGGAATAAAAATGGGAATAAAAATGGAAATAAGAATGGAAATAGAAAATGGAAATAAAAAGGAAAATAAAAAATGGAAATAGGAAATGGAAATAAAATGGAAATAAGAATGGAAATAAAAATGGGAATAAGAATGGAAATAAAAAATTGAAATAAGAATGGAAATTAAAATGGAAATAAAAATGGAAATAAAAATGGAAATAAAAATGGAAATAAAAATGGAAATAAAAAGCAAAATAAAAAATGAAAATAAGAAATTAAATTAAAATGGGAATAAAAATGGAAAATAAGAAATGGAAATAAAAATGGAAATAGAAAATGGAAATAAGAATGGAAATAAGAATGGAAAATAGGAAAGGAAAATAAAAAAGAAAATGAAAATTAAAATAAAAAGAGAAAAGAAAAACACGAAAATAATAAATGAAAATAAAAAGGGAAATAAAAAAGGAAAGAAAGGGAAAAAAAGGAAAATAAGAAAGGAAAATAAAAAATGGAAATAAAAAGGGAAATAAAAAAGGAAAATAAGAAAGGAAAATAAAAAAAGGGAAAAAATGAAAATGAAAAATGAAAATAAAAAAAGAAAATATAAAAAATGAAAATAAAAAGGGAATTAATGAAGGAAAATAAGAAAGGAAAATAAAACATGAAAATAAGAAATGAAAGCAAAAATGGAAATAAAAATGGAAAAAAGAAATGGAAATAAGAAATGGAAATAAAAAATGGAAAAAAAATGGAAATAAAAATAGAAATAAAAAATTTAAACAAAAAATGAAAATAAAAAGGAAAATGAAATTGAATTAAATAAAAAATTAAATTAATCAAAATACAATCATGAAAAGAAATTAAAATTAAAGCATGAGATAAAAAAATTAAGGAAATTGAAATGAAAATTAAATGAAATTAAAATAGAGGATACAGAAATAAAAGGAACTTGAAATAAAAAATGAAATTAAATTAAAGGATACAAAAATAAAAGGAAATTGAATTGAAAAGTAAAAAATCAGGGAGAAGTAAAGAAAAATAAAAATGCAAAAATGAAAGTTCGAATTAAAAATAAAAAATAAAACATAAAAAATAAAAAATTGAATCAAAGTATAAATCAAAATAAATGAAATAAAATAATAAATAAATTAATTAAATAAATAATTAAAAAAATTTAAAAATAAATAAATAAATCAAAAAAGCAAATAAAACAAAAATGAAAACGAAAAACCAACCGGAAATGACAACAAAATGCAAATGAATCATATGCAAATACAAACAAATCATATGCAAATACAAACAAATCATATGCAAATGAGGACGTAAATCAAACCCCAATGAGACCACCAAAACCACCGACGACTGGACACAAAACCCAACGAAACTCTGGAAAAATCAAAACACAAAACTCCAAACGAGAAAAATTCGGGAACGACCCCGAGGGGGAAAAATGGATTGGACAGATGAGGGTGGGGGAGGGGTGGAGGGGGTGGAGCCTCTTCCGGGGGAACTCCGGGTGTGGAATCCGTTGGGAAATGAGTTCGACACCTCCAGGGGGGGTGGGAGAAGCTTCGGGAATTCCCTCGGGTGACGCTGGCACCGCTCCCTCCGGAATTCCGGGAAGGAGGAGGAGGAGGAGCAGGGTGGGAAAACCCCCAGTGGGGGAAGATCCTCACCCACCTTTCCAAGGAGGAACTCAACGGGGTGGGAAAGGAACCGAAGCCCGACACGCCGTGACGTCACGGGGTGGGAAAGGAACCAAAGCCCAACACGCCGTGACCCAACACGCTGTGACGTCACAGGGTTGGGAGAGGAACCCAAGCCCAACACGCCGTGACGTCACGGGGTGGGAAAGGAACCAAAGCCCAACACGCCGTGACGTCACGGGTTGGGATAGGAACCCAAGCCCAACACGCCGTGACGTCACGTGGGGTCACAGGGTAAGACGGGAACCCAAACCCAACAGCCCAGACACGATGTGACGTCACGGGGTGGGAAAGGAATCAAAGCCCAACACGCCGTGACGTCACGGGGTGGGAAAGGAACCCAAACCCAACACGCCGTGACGTCACGGGGTGGGAGAGGAACCCAAGCCCAACACGCCGTGACGTCACGGGGTGGGAAAGGAACCAAAGCCCAACACGCCGTGACGTCACGGGGTGGGAAAGGAACCCAAGCCCAACACGCCGTGACGTCACGGGGTGGGAGAGGAATCAAAGCCCAACACGATGTGACGTCACGGGAACCGTGGAATGATCCCACCGGGAAGGGACCTTTCTGAAGATCACCTCGTTCCATCCCCCGGCACCTTCCACATCGCTCCCAAATCCTCATCCAACCCGACCAAGGCCACGAACCCGGAGGCCACCGGCGGGCTGGGGGTTTCTCACTCACCTTTGGTGTCATTGACCGGATCCATGTGCCGGTAAATGTATCCCTCTAGGTAGGAGTGGAATTTGGGGGTGGGCGGGAAAAAGGCCAAACAGATGGCCATGAGCTCCCAGCCCCGGGCCAGGCTCTCGTATCGGAAGTTCTCGGTGGTCTGGCGGCACAGCTGGATGTAGAGCTCATCTCGCAGGCCCTGCACGCTCCAGCCCTTGGTGGCGATCTCCAAGGCCACGTTGAGCTGGTCCGTCTTGGCCCGCCGGTCGCCCATGTACATCTGGATGAGCTTGAAGATCTCGCACGCCTCCTTCTTGACGTTGCGGTCGTTGGTCATGATCATGGGCTTCTTGATGGACTCGCTGCTCCAGGCCAGCATGTTGGCGATGGAGACCTTGCGGCGGAAGAGCCCCTGGGTGTGCTTGTTGAAGTGCTTGGAGGCCCAGTTCTCGATGTCCGTCTCCGAGGAGGGCTTGCGCAGGTTGAAGGTGGGGAAGACGCAGCTGGCGCTGGGCATCATGTTCCGGCTCTGGCGGCCGCTCTCGAACTGCGCGCACGCGCCCAGGTCCTCGGACTGCGGGACACAGCGGGGGGGGGTTACTGGGGAGGGGGGGCTGAGGCTGGGCAGGGGGTCAGCTGATCAGACATCCACATGATCAACCAGCTGATCAACCAGCTGATCAGCCATTCAAATGATCAAGCAGCTGATCAGCCATCCAGATGATCAATCAGCCAAATGATCAACCAGCTGATCAGCCAACCAACTGATCAACCAATTGATCAACCAGCTGCTCAACCAATCAACTGATCAACCAACCAACCAATCAACTGATCAACCAATCAACCAATCAACTGATCAGCCAATCAACCAACCAACTGATCAGCCATCCAACTGATCAACCAACTGATCAACCAGCTGATCAACCATCCAACTGACCAACTGATCAGCCATCCAATTGATCAACCAGATGATCAATCAACTGATCAACTGACCAACCGACCAACTGATCAACCAACCAACCAATCAACTGATCAAGCAGCCAACTGATCAACCAACCAACCAACCAATCAGCTGATGAACCAATCAACCAACCAATCAACCAACCAATCAACCAACCAACTGATCAATCAGTTGATTAACCAACCAATCAACCAACCAACCAACAAACCATTCAACCAATCAACTAACAAATCACTCAACCAACCAATCAATCAACCAACAAACCAACCAATCAATCAACCAACAAACCAACCAATCAACCAAAAAAATCACTCAACCAACCAATCAATCAACCAACCAACCAGTCAACCAACAAACCAACCAATCAATCAAGCAAGTAAGCAAGTAATCAATCAAAAAACCAATCAATCAACCCATGAACCAACCAACCAGCCAAGAAACCAACTCACCAACAAACCCCCTCCGCCCCAAATCACCGTCCAAGGGGGTTCTGCAGCGGCCACAGGAGGAGGTTGGAGGCTCCTCCAAGCTGTGAGGAACACGGATGTTCCACCTTTACATCCCGCGTGCCGATGGCCACGAAGTGCCCGGGATTTACCCCTCGACTCTGCAGGGTACCAGGCTGGCAAGGACCCCTGCAGAGCAGTGCCCTCCTCCTCCTCCTCCTCCTGACCCCAGTACAGCCGGTGACATCACCCCAGGAGGTGGTGGGACACCCAAAGAGCTGGTGACCAGCACAGAGAAAGCCAACAAGGACAACTGGGATGGACAATCTGGTGGTCCCGGTGGTTTCATCGTCTGGGATGAAGTGGATGAAGTGGAACATCATCTGGGAACAGGCCTGGGAAGCAGATCCTGGAATGCTGGTGTGTTTGTGGCTCTTTCATGCCAAGGTTTTGAGGGACCACCTTGCCACGGAGCAACTTCCTTGAGGGACCAGGTTAGTGAAGACCAACTTTAGGAAGGGATCACCTTGTTGTGGACCAATTTCTTTGAAGGCCCAGGTTAGTGAGGACCAACTTTGAGGGACCAGGTTAGTGAGGACCAACTTTAGGAGGGACCACCTTGCCAAGGACCAATTTCTTTGAAGGCCCACCTTAGTGAGGACCAACTTTGAGGGACCACCTTGCCAAGGACCAATTTCTTTGAAGGCCCAGGTAAGTGAAGACCAACTTTGAGGGACCACCTCGATAAGGACCAACTTCTTTGGGGGCCCAGGTTTATAAAGACCAGCTCTGAGGGACCACCTTGCCAAGGACCAACTTTCTTGTGGGACCACCTTGGCAAGGACCGATTTCCTTGTGGCACCACCTTTCCAAGGACCAGCTTTGAGGGACCAGGTTAACAAGGAGCAGCTCTGAGGGACCACCTTCATAAGGACCATCTTTGAGGGACCACCTTACCAAGGACCAACTTCCTCGTGGCACCACCTTGGCAAGGACCAGCTTTGAGGGACCAGGTTAACAAAAACCAGCTCTGAGGGACCACCTTGCCAAGGACCAACTTCTTTGAGGGTCCAGGCTAACAAGGAGCAGCTCTGAGGGCCCAGGTTAACAAGGAGCAGCTCTGAGGGACCAGGTTAACAAGGACCAGCTCTGAGGGACCACCTTGCCAAGGACCAACTTCTTTGAGGAACTAGGTTAACAAAGATCAACTTCAAGGGACCACCTTTCCAAGGACCAGCTTTGAGGGACCAGGTTAACAAAGACCAGCTTTGAGGGACCACCTTGCCAAAGACCAACTTCTTTGAGGGACCAGGTTAATAAAGACCAGCTTTGAGGGACCACCTTGGCAAGGACCAGCTCTGAGGGCCCAGGTTAACAAGGAGCAGCTCTGAGGGACCACCTTGCCAAGGACCAACTTCTTTGAGGGATCACCTTGATAAAGACCAACTTTGAGGGACCACCTTGCCAAGGACCAACTTCTTTGAGGTACCAGGTTAGTAAAGACCAGCTTTGAGGGACCACCTTGCCAAGGACCAGCTTTGAGGGACCACCGTCATAAGGACCAGCTTTGAGGGACCACCTTGCCAAGGACCAACTTCTTTGGGGGATCAGGTTAATAAAGACCAGCTCTGAGGGACCACCTTGCTAAGGACCAACTTCTTTGAGGAACTAGGTTAACAAAGATCAACTTTGAGGGACCACCTTGCCAAGGACCAGCTTTGAGGGATCAGGTTAGTAAAGATCAGTTTTGAGGGACCACCTTGGCAAGGACCAACTTCTTTGGGGGACCAGGTTAATAAAGACCAGCTTTGAGGGACCACCTTGATAAGGACCAACTTCCTTGTGGCACCACCTTGCCAAGGACCAGCTCTGAGGGCCCAGGTTAATAAAGACCAGCTCTGAGGGCCCAGGTTACCAAGGACCAGCTCTGAGGGCCCAGGTTAAGAAGGACCAGCTCTGAGGGCCCAGGTTACCAAGGACCAGCTCTGAGGGACCACCTTGCCAAGGACCGATTTCCTTGTGGCACCACCTTGGCAAGGACCAGCTTTGAGGGACCACCTTGCCAAGGAGCAGCTCTGAGGGACCAGGTTAACAAGGACCAGCTCTGAGGCACCACCTTGCCAAGGACCAACTTCTTTGAGGGATCAGGTTAACAAGGACCAGCTCTGAGGGACCACCTTGCCAAGGACTGACTTCCCTGTGGCACCACCTTGGCAAGGACCAACTTCTTTGGGGCCCAGGTTAAGAAGGACCAGCTCTGAGGGCCCACCTTTCCAAGGACCAGCTCTGAGGGTCCAGGTTAACAAGGACCAGCTTTGAGGGACCACCTTGACAAGGACCAACTTCATTGAGGGCCCAGGTTACCAAGGACCAGCTCTGAGGGCCCAGGTTACCAAGGACCAGCTCTGAGGGCCCACGTTACCAAGGACCAGCCCTGAGGGTCCAGGTTAACAAGGACCAGCTCTGAGGGATCTCCTCCCCCCAGGACCCCGCGGCCGTTCCGGGCGGGCGTTACCTGGGACGGGTGCAGGTAGGGCTCGGGAGAGGCCAGGTTGGTCTGGACGGACACGCTCTTCTCCAGCAGGATCTGGGGGAAGCCCAGCTTCTCGAAGGTGTTCCTCTTCCAGTGCTTGTTCTCCTGCTGCGCCAGCGCCTCGTCCTCGCTGAAGGCCCTGACCACGGGGCCCGGCATGGGCAGGGGGAGGGCGCCGTCGCTCTCGTAGCCCGACCCGTCCTTTTGGGAGTCCCAACTGCTGCGCTGCTTCATGTGGTAATGCGCCTGCTGCGCCTCCCACGCCAGCCGCGCCTGGGCCAGGAAGGGCTCCGGGAAGGCCTCGGCCGCCTTGCTGTCCGTCCGGTTCCCGGGCGAGCGGTCGGGCCCCCGTTCGTCCCCGGCCCCCGCTCGGCCGGCGCCTCCCGCTCCCCGCAGCCGTCGGCGGGCTCGTGGGCCCCCGAGGCCTTCCTGCTTTTCCTCTTCCTGGTGGAGGGCGAGTAGCCCGCCGAGGACAAGGTGTCCTGCTGGCTGGACCACGACATGGAGTCCTCGGCCCGGGCCGCCTGGCCGCCGCCAGCGGGGCAGAAGTCGGGTCCCTCCATGCTGCTGTAATCGGCGGATTTGAGGTCGAGCCGCTGCTCCCGCAGCAGGCAGGGGCTGTGCTGCAGCGAGTAGGACCCTCCGACAGGGTTGGGCGAGTACTTGTGCCTCAAGCCCGTCTTCGCCTTGGGGCTGGAGCCCGCCTGCTCCACGTACACCAGCTGCCGGACGTACTCCTTGCCCGCCGGGCTGTACTCCAGGCTCACGAAGCGCTCGGGGCACTTCTGCTTGGTGAGCACCAGCTGCTGGTAGGGCGAGTTGGAGCCTTGCTTGGGCGACTGCAGGAAGGGCTGGGGCTTCCTCACCGGCGACCTCTGGGGCGAGGCGGCCCTGTAGGCCCCGCCGCCGGCCTCGTACTGCATGTCCACGGGGGGCTCGTCGTAGATGGGCGCCTGGTACTCCACGGGGGGCTCCTCGTAGAGCGGGGGTTCGTAGGCGTAGCGCGGCGACGACGGCTGCGACTCGCCCGACGGCCGGCGGGGCTGCACCGAGCACGAGGAGTCAGCCCGGCCCAGCAAGGGGGAGCAGCCACCGCCGTGCTCGGCACGCTTGGCGAAGGGCGACGCTTTCCTCTCCGGGAAGAAGACGGAGCCGTCGGGCTCCGAGGAGAAGGTCTGCAGGCCCGGGGATTGCTGCAGGCCCGGGGATTGCTGCAGGCCCGGGGATTGCTGCGGGCCCCCCGAGGGCCGGCGGGGCCGCGGCGCGGCGGGCAGGTCGGCGGCGTAGCCGTTGCCCTGGTGCAGGAGGAAGCTGGGCTCGCGCTCCGTCACCTTGATCAGCATCCGCTCCTTGGGGCCCGCCGTCCAGCGCAGAGACGACGTCCTGAAATGGGGGAGATGGATAAATAAAGGGGGGTCAGAATTCCCTGGAGTCCTGCTCATGATCATCACAGGTCATGGAAGAACACAAAGGGTGGAGGAGCAGCCCAAGCCTTTCCTGTCAGGTGTTTTATAAAGGAGACTCCAGGGAGCTGCCACCATCCCAAAACTGGTGGTACCATCCCACAGACCCCAGGAATTCCCAAAGGATGCCCAGGTTGGAAAGCCAAGCACACCTTGAGGTGGAAAATGGTCAGAATTCCCTGGATTCCTGCTCCTGATCCTCCCAGGTCGGGGAAGAACACAAAGGGTGGAGGAGCAACCTGAGCCTCTCCCATCAGGTGATGGAGACATGAGGGTGATGCCACCATCCCAAAACTGGTGGCACCATCCCACAGACCCCAGGAATTCCCAAAGGATGCCCAGGCTGGAAAGCCAAGCACCCCTTGGGGGTGGGAAATGGGTCAGAATTCCCTGGATTCTTGCTCCTGATCCTCCCAGATCATGGAAGAACACAAAGGGTGGATGTTCCCAAGACACCCAAGCCTCTCCCATCAGGTGATGTCACCATCCCAAAACTGGTGGCACCATCCCACAGACCCCAGGAATTCCCAAAGGATGCCCAGGCTGGAAAACCAAGCACACCTTGAGGTGGAAAATGTTCAGAATTCCCTGGATTCCTGCTCCTGATCCTCACAGTCGGGGAAGAACACAAAGGGTGGATGTTCCCAAGACACCCAAACCTCTCCCATCCCACAGAGCCCAGGAATTCCCAAAGGATGCCCAGGCTGGAAAGCCAAGCACCCCTTGGGGGTGGGAAACACCACAGGGGGGTCAGAATTCCCTGGATTCCTGCTCCTGATCATCACAGTCCATGGAAGAACACAAAGGGTGGAGGAGCAACCCGAGCCTCTCCCATCAGGTGATGGAGACTCGAGGGTGATGTCACCATCCCAAAACTGGTGGCACCATCCCACAGACCCCAGGAATTCCCAAAGGATGCCCAGACTGGAAAGCCAAGCACCCCTTAGGGGTGGAAAACACCACAGGGAGGTCAGAATTCCCTGGATTCCCCATCCCAGGGGCAGGAGAAGCCGCCTGTGCCCAATTTCACCTCTCCCACTTCTTGTGGCTTTCCTGCTTCTCACCCCCTCCATGCAGCCCCTTCCCGGGATTTACCCCCTTCCCTCCCGATCCCAGAGAGCTGGGAATGTTCCCCTGGAGAAGGGAAAGGATCCAGGGAGATCCTTGGAGAACCTTCCAGGGCCTGGAGGGGCTCCAGGAATTCGGGATTTGGGATGAAGGGCTGGAGGGACAGCACCCAGGGAATGAATTCCCAGGGTTAGGTGGGATATTGGGATGGAATTCCAGGCTGGGAGGGTGGGGAGGGGCTGGGCTGGAATTCCCAGAGAATCTCTGGATGCCCCTGGATCCCTGGGAATATCCCAGGCCGGGTTGGATCACCCCTGGGATGGTGGGAGATGTCCCTTCCCCTTGGCAGGGGCTTGGAATTCCAGGATCTTCAATCCAATCCCTTCCCAGGACACAGGGAATGGCTTCAAGCTGGGAAAGGGGAGATGTAGATGGGATTTTGGGAAGGAATCCTTCCCTGGGCTGGAATTCCCAGAAAAATGGGATTTTGGGAAGGAATCCTTCCCTGGGCTGGAATTCCCAGAAAAAACTGTGGCTGCCCCATCCTTGGGAGTGTCCAAGGCCAGGCTGGAGGAGCTGGACCCTCGGGAAATCCCCATTCCCACGGGAATCCCAAATCCAGCTGGGTTCCCACTCGGGGTCGGGTGTTTAATTCCCAGATTTTGCCTCTTCCATCAATATTCCAGCAGCAGGAAAATCCACCCCCTCCTCCTCTATCATTCCCACGCCCCTGGAGCAGCATCAGCATCACGGAATCATCTCCAGACACCAAACAACATTCCCAAAAACTCCAGAGCTGCTGCCGGGATTGTTTATCCCAAAACACCCCAAAAAACCTGGAATTTTCTGCCCTCCAAGGGAGGTTGAGGAAAAAACCTCAAAAAACCCTGGAATTTTTCATATTTATTTATATATTTTATATATTTTTAGATTTTATCTTTTATATATTTTATGTATTTCATATATTTTATATTTTTATATATTTATTTTATATATTTTATACATATTTATATATATTTTTATATATTTACTATATATTATTATTATTTATTGTTATGTTTTATACAGTTATATTTTTATTTTTCTGTATTTATGTATTTTATATATTTTAGATATTTCTATATTTTTTATATTTCTATATTTTTATATATATTTATATATATTTCTATATTATAAATGTCTATATTTTATATTTTATATTGTTATATATTTATATTTATATATTTTATATATTTTCTATATTTATATATTTATATATTTTATATATTTATATATTTATATTTTTCTATATTTATATATTTATATTTTTATATATTTAAATATTTTCTATATATATTATATATTTCTATATTTTATATTTTATATTTTTATATATTTCATACATTTATATTTTTATATAACTATATTTTTATATATTCTATATTTATATTTTCTTTATTTATATTTTTATATATTTATATGTTTTCTACATTTATATTTTTATATATTTATATTTTATATTTTTATATATTTATTTATTTATTTATTATTTATATATTTATATATTAATATATTTTATATATTCATACATTTTATATATTTATATATTTTTATATATTACATTTTTACATATTTATATATTCTCTATATTTATATTTTTATATATTTATACATTTATTTATTTATTTAATAACTAGAATTCTTTAAATTCCATTTCTTGGAATTTGGGGGTTTTTCCTCTGTGAATTCCCGGGAGAAAGCGATTCCCAAATCCCTTTTAATTTCCCATCAACCCCGCCCCCCTCATTTGCATCTCATTATCATAATTAAAGAGCCTCCAAATGACTTTCTCCAAATGAATTTCGATGTTCCTGAGTGGAGGGGGGAGCTCCAAGTGAATCAATCACCAGGTTTAAACATGGAAGTAGGAAATTAAAGAATTCTAGTTATTAAATAAATAAAGAAATAAATAAAAATGTATGAATATATAAAAATATAAATGTAGAAAATATATAAAAATGTAAAAATGTAAATATATAAAATACATAAAATCTATAAAATATAAAAATAAATATGAAAGCTATAAATTGAAATTTAATTCCTCTAAAATCGGGAATAATTAAAAAAAACCACAAAAACCCACCCAACCCTGGCATTTTCCAGGGTTTTCTGGGAAAAAACAACAAAAAAGCAGAAAATTCCCCCAAATCCCCCACAAAAAATCCCACATTTTTCCCCCTTTTTCCAACCCCAAATTCCCGATATTTTTCCTCAAACAGGGATCAAAGTGGAATTTTCCCTCTCCAGGATGAGGGGAAATTGGAATCATTCCCTCTAAAATCATTTTCCAAACTCCAGGACTTTTTCCCACTGGAAAAGCAATATTTGGAACCCCCCCTCTCCTTCCTTTCCCTTTTTCCAACCCCAAATTCCCGATGTTTTTCCTCAAACAGGGGTTTAAAAGTGGAATTTTCCCTCTCCAGGATGAGGGGAAATTGGAATGATTCCCTCCAAAATCATTTTCCAAACTCCTGGATTCTCCAGGATTTTTTCCCACTGGAAAAGCAATGTTTGGAACCCCCCTCTCTTTCCCAGAGTTTTTTTTCCAACCCCAAATTCCCGATGTTTTTCCTCAAACAGGGATTTAAGTGGAATTTTCCCTCTCCAGGATGAGGGGAAATTGGAATCATTCCCTCCAAAATCATTTTCCAAACTCCAGGATTTTTTCCCACTGGAAAAGTTATTATTGGAACCCCCCCCTCTCCTTCCTTTCCCTTTTTCCAACCCCAAATTCCCGATATTTTTCCTCACCTTCCCCTCCCGGGAATGGGAAGCATCTCCCTCCACATTCCGGTCATTCCAGAGCCTTTTCCAGGTTTAAATTGGGATAGGGATGAGGGATTGAAGCTCATCCCATCCCATCCCATCCCATCCCCCCCTCCCATCCGGGTGCCAACGGCACAGCCGGCGCTTCCCGCTGGGAATTCCGGCCTTGGGAAAAAAAAACAACTCCCTGAACCTGGAAAAGTTCCCGGGATCTGCTGGAAAAATACAGGGAAAAAAAGGAGGGGGGAACAGCAGAGCCCGCCCCAAAAACTTGGAAAAGCTTTTCCAGCTTGGAAAAACCTCCCTGGGATCCAAATCCCAGCTCTGGGATCCAAACCCGGTTGGAAAAGTCGGGAATTAAGGCTTGAGGAAGCCAGGGGGGAAAAAAAAACCGGGATGAAATCCCAAATCCCGCCCAGGTCGATCTTTGTCGCTCCCTGAAATTCCCAGGGAGTTTTGGAAGTTGAAATTCCTGCGGGAATTCCTACGGGATTTCCGGGATTTGGGGTTGTCCCTGAGCGTTTATCCCACACTTCCCAACCTTTCCACGCCTTGGAAATCCCGTTTTTCTCGGAATTCCACGCTCGGATTTTCCAATTCCCGCGGAAAACGCCGGGAATGAAGGGAAATTGGGGGGAGGAAACCCTAAAATATCGGGATGTTGGAGAGTTGGGATGGAGTTTTCCAACCCCTCCGTGGGGTTTTGGGGATAACTCCGGGCTGGGAACGGTTGGGATGGGGAGGGGACAGAGTTCCTGGTCTGGATCCATGGAATTCCTGCCCCTCAGACCTTGGGATGGGATGGGATGGGATGGGGTGGGATGGGATGGGGTGGGATGGGATGGGATATCTGGGCTGGGTTGGGATGGGATGGGATATCTGGAATGGGATGGGATGGGATGGGATATTTGGGATGGGATGGGGTGGGATGGGATGGGATGGGATGGGATGGGATGGGATGGGATGGATATTTGGGATGGGATGGGATGGGATGGGATGGGATGGGATATCTGGGATGGGATGGGATATCTGGGATGGATGGGATATTTGGGATGGGATGGGTGGGATGGGATGGGATGGGATGGGATGGGATGGGATGGGATGGGATTGATGGGATGGGATGGGATGGGATGGGATGGGATATTTGGGATGGGATGGGAAAACCCTCCAAGAATCCCCCCGCACGGGGATGGAAAATTCCCGAGTGGGATCCCGTGGTTGGTTCCAACTTTTCCTGGTGGGAAGGAACCCCCCAGACCAATCAGAACCAACCTCCCCTTGGAAATTCCGGATATGGGAGCGGGAAAGGATGTTGGGAAAAAGCAGGAAGGGAATTTTGTGGGATACCTGTAGTGCAGGAGCTGCCCCTCGGAGCCGTAATCCCGGAACACCTCATAGTCCTTCTCCAACACCCCGCAACTGCAAGGCAGGAAAAAAAAAACCGGGAAGAACAGGAATTTTCCCCCGTGAATAAATTCATTTTTCCACTCATAAAGCTGATTTTCCACCAATAAAAGGGATTTTCCATAAATAAAGGGGATTTTTTCCATGAATAAAATTGATTTTTCATAATTAAAAGTGATTTTTCCATAAATATAAAGCTGATTTTCCACTAATAAAAGGGATTTTTCATAAATAAAGGGGATTTTCCATGAATAAAATTGATTTTTCATAATTAAAAGTGATTTTTCCATAAATATAAAGCTGATTTTCCACTAATAAAAGGGATTTTTCATAAATAAAGGGGATTTTTCCATGAATAAAGGGGATTTTTTCCATGAATAAAAGTGATTTTTCCATTAATCAAAGTGATTTTTCCATTAATCAAAGTGATTTTTCCATTAATAAATGTGATTTTCTATTAATAATTGATTTGCCCATTAATAAAAGTATTTTTCCATTACTAAAGTCAATTTTCCACTAACAAAGATGATTTTCCATAAATAAAGGGGATTTTTTTCCATGAATAAAGCTGATTTTTCCACCAATAAAAGGGATTTTCCATAAATAAAGGTGATTTTCCATTAATAAAATTGATTTTTCCACGAATAAAAGCGATTTTTCCACTAATAAAGTTGATTTTTCAACAATAAAAGTGATTTTTCCATGAATAAAAAGTCGATTTTCCACTAACAAAGTTGATTTTCCATAAATAAAAGGGATTTTCCATTAATCAAAGTGATTTTTCCATTAATAAATGTGATTTTCTATTAATAAGTGATTTTTCCATTAATAAAAGTGATTTGCCACTAATAAAGTTGATTTGCCATAAATAAAAGGGGTTTTCCATTAATAAAGTTCATTTTTCCACTAACAAAGCTGATTTTCCACCAATAAAAGTGATTTTCCATAAATAAAGGGGATTTTTCCACTAATAAAGTTGATTTTTCAACAATAAAAATGATTTTTCCACTCACATAAAGCTGATTTTCCACTAACAAAGTTGATTTTCCATAAATAAAAGCGGTTTTCCATTAATCAAAGTGATTTTTCCATTAATAAATGTGATTTTCTATTAATAAGCGATTTTTCTATTAATAAAAGTGATTTTTCCATTAATAAAATGGATTTTCTACCAATAAAAGTGATTTTCCATAAATGAAGGGGATTTTTCCACTAATAAAGTTGATTTTTCAACAATAAAAATGATTTTTCCACTCACATAAAGCTGATTTTCCACTAACAAAGTTGATTTTCCATAAATAAAAGCGGTTTTCCATTAATCAAAGTGATTTTTCCATTAATAAATGTGATTTTCTATTAATAAGCGATTTTTCTATTAATAAAAGTGATTTTTCCATTAATAAAATGGATTTTCTACCAATAAAAGTGATTTTCCATAAATGAAGGGGATTTTTCCACTAATAAAGTTGATTTTTCAACAATAAAAATGATTTTTCCACTCACATAAAGCTGATTTTCCACTAACAAAGCTGATTTTCCATAAATAAAAGGGATTTTCCATAAATAAAGGGGATTGTTTCCATGAATAAAGTGATTTTTCAACAAAAAAAGTGATTTTTCCACTAATAAAATTGATTTTTCAACAATAAAAATGATTTTTCCACTCACATAAAGCTGATTTTCCACTAACAAACCTGATTTTCCATAAATAATCGGGATTTTTCCACTCACAAAGTCGATTTTTCCCAAATAAAAGCCATTTTCCCCCTCCACAATCCTGACTTTCCCACCCCAAAACCCCCTTCCCATCCCGAATTTTCCCCCAAACGCCCCCATTCCAAAAAACCTCCGGATAAAAATCCCCCCCCTCCCCCAAATTCCCTAAAAACCCTCCCAAAATCCCGGAATTTTCATTCCCTCTGCGCTTCCTGCTTATTTTAAAAGACCAGGAAAACTCAAAAAAGCTGGAATAGATCCCAAATCCGGCTCCAAATCCCGCCTGGAATTCCCACCCAAACTTCCACTCCCAGGGTTTTTTTTTTCCTTGGAATTCCGGATCCATCAGGAAATTATCCCAAAAATCCCTCCCAAAAAAAGGGAATTAAAAAGGAATCAAAACCCCCCCTGATTTCCCTTCCCTTCCCAACCCCTGGAATGAGCATTTTTCTCGGGAATATTGGAGGGAACGGAGTTAAGTCCGGGAATTTTGGGGGGTTGGGAATGGTTTTTCCAATGGGGTTGTTCCCAAATATCTGGGATCCAAGGGAAACTCCTCTGGGAAAAATGGGAGTTCCCCCCCATAGGGAAATTCAATATCCAGGGAAATTTGGGATCCCTCGAGCTGGGAAGATCCCAAGGTTTTCCCGGAGGAATTATCCCAGGATTTGCCCAGCCCTGAATCCCTCCCACCTTCCTCCTTTTCCAGGGAAATCCCTTCAGGCCACGCTCCAAACCCCCCTTTTCCCGAGGTAAAACCCAAATTCCAAGAGGACAAGGAAAATATTCCTGGCAGGGAGTTTTCCATAGGGAAAAAAACCACCAAATCCAAGTTGTCCCTGGGAGTGAAAAACGCCTTTTCCTGATGGTTTTCCCTCTTTTTTTCATGGAGCCCGGGACATGGGGCAATTCCAGGGGCGGAATTCCCTCCTTTCCTGCTGCCTGGGATGAGCCCAGGACGTTGGGAATTCCAGGTTCTCGGTGCACATGGATGGCTCAGATCCCATTTTTTTTCATGGATGGCTCAGATCCCTTTTTTTTTCATCCATTGGCACCCCAAGTCCTTCTCCCCAGGGCTCCTCTCCATCCTTCCCCCTAAATTCCAGGTTTTTTCCTGGGATTTCCCACTCCCAGGGGGTGATTTATGGAGGATCAAACCCCAGGAACAGCCTGAGCTGATCCATAAAACCCCTTTTCCCAAGGAAGGGAAGACCCTCAGGATGAGGGCTCTGCTCTCTGCTCTTTTCCTCTCCCAAAAAATCCATGGTTTTCTCCTCGGAATTTCCCACCCCCAGGAGATGATTTATGGAGGATCAACCCCCAGGAACAGCCTGAGCTGATCCATAAAATCCCTTTTCCCAGGGAAAGGGAAGATCCTCAGGATCAGAGTTCTGCTCTCTGCTCTTTTTCTCTCCATCCCTTCCTCTAAATTCCATGTTTTTTTCCCTGGATTTCCCTCAGCCCCAGGGGCTGATTTATGGAGGATCAACCCCCAGGAACAGTCGAGTTTGGAGAACCATCCCCAAAACATCTTCTCCCAAGGAAAGGAAGATCCTCAGGACGAGGGCTCTGCTCTCTGCTCTTTTCCTCTCCATCCTTCCCCCTAAATTCCAGGTTTTTTTCCTGGGATTTCCCACTCCCAGGGGGTGATTTATGGAGGATCAACCCCAGGAACAGCCTGAGCTGATCCATAAAATCCATTTTCCCAAGGAAAGGAAGATCCTCAGGATGAGGGCTCTGCTCTCTGCTCTTTTCCTCTCCATCCCTTCCTCTAAATTCCAGGTTTTTTCCCTGGATTTCCCTTCCCAGGAAACACCCCCAGAGGATGATTTATGGTGGATCAAACCCCAGGAACAGCCTGAGATGAGGAACCACCCAAACAATCCCTTCTCCCAAGAACGGGCAGACCCTCAATACGAGGGCTCTGCTCTCTGCTCTTTTCCTCTCCATCCCTTCCCCTCAAATCCATGGATTTCCCACCCCCAGGAGATGATTTGTGGAGGATCAAACCCCAAGTATAGGCTGAGCTTGAGGAACCACCCCCAAAACATCTTCTCCCAAGGAAAGGAAGATCCTCAGGATGAGGGCTCTGCTCTCTGCTCTTTTCCTCTCCATCCTTTCTCCTAAATTCCATGGTTTTCTCCTTGGAATTTCCCACTCCCAGGGGGTGATTTATGGAGGATCAAACCCCAGGAACAGCCTGAGCTGATCCATAAAATCCATTTTCCAAGGGAAGGGAAGATCCTCAGGATCAGAGCTCTGCTCTCTGCTCTTTTCCTCTCCATCCCTTCCCCTCAAATCCATGGATTTCCCACCCCCAAGGGATGATTTATGGAGGATCAACCCCCAGGAACAGCCTGAGCTTGAGGAACCACCCCCAAAATCCTCAGGACGAGGGCTCTGCTCTCTGCTCTTTTCCTCTCCATCCCTTCCCTTCAAATCCATGGATTTCCCTCACCCCCAGGTGGTGATTTATGGTGGATCAAACCCCAGGAACAGCCTGAGCTGATCCATAAAATCCATTTTCCCAAGGAAAGGGAAGATCCTCAGGATCCAAGCTCTGCTCTCTGCTCTTTTCCTCTCCATCCTTTCCCCTAAATTACAGGTTTTTTTCCTGGGATTTCCCACCCCCAGGGGGTGATTTATGGTGGATCAACCCCCAGGAACAGCTGACCTGAGGAACAATCCATACAATCCCTTCTCCCAAGGAAAGGAAGATCCTCAGGATCAGAGTTCTGCTCTCTGCTCTTTTCCTTTCCCCTCAAATCCATGGTTTTTTCCCTGGATTTCCCTTCCCAGGAAACATCCCCAGAGGATGATTTATGGAGGATCAACCCCAGGAACAGCCTGAGATGAGGAACAACCCATACAATCCCATCTCCCAAGAATGGGAAGACCCTCAGGATGAAGGCTCTGCTCTCTGCTCTTTTCCTCTCCATCCCTTCCCCTTAAATCCATGGTTTTCTCCTTGGAATTTCCCACTCCCAGGAGATGATTTATGGTCAATCAACCCCCAGGAACAGCCTGAGCTGAGGAACAACCCATACAACCCCTTCTCCCAAGGAAGGGAAGATCCTCAGGATGAGGGCTCTGCTCTCTGCTTTTTTCCTCTCCATCCCTTCCCCTCAAATCCATGGTTTTCTCCTCGGAATTTCCCACCCCCAGGAGATGATTTATGGAGGATCAACCCCCAGGAACAGCTGACCTGAGGAACAACCCATAAAACCCCTTCTCCCAAGGAAGGGAAGACCCTCAGGACGAGGGCTCTGCTCTCTGCTCTTTTCCTTTCCCCTCAAATCCATGGTTTTCTCCTTGGAATTTCCCACCCCCAGGGGATGATTTATGGAGGATCAACCCCCAGGAACAGCCTGAGCTGAGGAACAATCCATACAATCCCTTTTCCCAAAGAAAGGAAGATCCTCAGGATCCGAGCTCTGCTCTCTGCTCTTTTCCTCTCCATTCCTTCCCCTCAAATCCATAGATTTCCCTCACTCCCAGGAGATGATTTATGGAGGATCAACCCCCAGGAACAGCCTGACCTGAGGAACCACCCCCCAAAACATCTTCTCCCAACAACGGGCAGACCCTCAGGACGAGGGCTCTGCTCTCTGCTGTTTTTCACCTCGTCCTTTCCCCTCAAATCCATGTGCTTTTTTCCTGGAATTTCCCACTCCCAGGAGATGATTTCTGGAGGATCAACCCCCAGGAACAGCTGAGTTTGAGGACCCACCCCCCAAAACATCTTCTCCCAAGAATGGGCAGACCCTCAGGATGAGCGCTCCCCTCCCTCCTCCTCCCCCCACCCTCCCCTTTCCCTTCCCCCTTTCCCCTCCCCCCCAATTTACCTGTCGTGCTCCTCCTTGATCCCCCCGTAGCCGTGCCCCTGCCTCGGGGGCCGCTGCTCCTGCAGCTTTTCCGTGGCCTCGCCATCCCCATCCCCATCCCCGTCCCGCTCGAGCTCGGAGCCCGCGCCGCGGCCGGGGCCGCTCCCGCGGGGCGAGCCCGCGTTCTGCTTCAGCGTCTGCAGCTTGGCCAGGGGGATGATGTCGCAGCCCTGGGGCCGGTGCCACACGGTGCGCTGGCTGCCCGCGTTGTAGTAGTAGAAGCGCGAGGTGTTGGGGTCGAAGAGCTCCCACCACTGATCGTCGCTGGTGCGTTTGATGCGCACGCCGGCCGGCGGGTCCCACACGCACTCGCCCGTCAGCAGGTTGGCGTACATGCGCTCCCGCGTGCGGGGCTCGATGATCTCCACCCATTCCAGCCTGCGGGGAGGGGAGAGGGGATGGGGGTCAGCAAGGAGGGTGGCTCACATCTTGAGGGTTGGGAGAGGGGACTGGGGGGTCAGCAAGGAGGGTGGCTCACACCACATGGATCGGGAGAGGGGATGGGGGGGTCAGCCAGGAGGGTGTCTCACATCTTGAGGGTTGGGAGAGGGGATGGGGGGTCAGCCAGGAGAGAGTATCACACTTTAAGGGTCAGGAGAGGGGATGGGGGGGTCAGTCAGGAGGGAGCCTCAAATCCATGTGGTTCACAGGGGGAAAGCACCGGGAGAGGGGATTGGGGGGTCAGCAAGGAGGGAGCATCACACTTTGAGGGTCGGGAGAGGGGATGGGGGGTCAGCAAGGAGGGTACCTCACACCTCGAGGGTCGGGAGAGGGGATTGGGGGGGGTCAGCCAGGAGGGTGGTTCACAACACATGGATCAGGAGAGGGGATGGGGGGGGTCAGCCAGGAGGGTGGTTCACATCTTGAGGGTCAAGGAGGAGATGAACGGCCCCGGGGAGGGGAACAGTGGTGCCTTCCTATCCTTTCCAGCTCCTCACCACTACCCCACTTTTCCCCACTAATCCCACTTTTCCGAGGGATTCAGACCAATCCCTGGTTTCCAGCTCCCACAGGAATTCAGCAACCCAGCCAAAGTGATGATTCCATGACTTAAGACCAAGATGACTGGCGTGGATGACAACGATGGTTCCTTCCTCCACCTTCCATCTCCCCACCACTATCCCGCTTTTCCCCACTAATCCCGCTTTTCCGAGGGATTCAGACCAATCCCTGGTTTCCAGCTCCCACAGGAATTCAGCAGCCCAGCCCCTTCCAGCCCAAACTGCTGATTGCATGGTTCCAGACCGAGACAATTGACACGGGTGAGGAGAACGATGGGTCCTTCTTCCACCTTCCATCTCCCCACCACTAGCCCACTTTTCACACTTTTCCCCACTAATCCCACTTTTCCAAGGGATTCAGACCAATCCCTGGTTTCCAGTTCCCACAGGAATTCAGCAGTCCAGCCCCTTCCAGCCCAACCAGTGATTCCATGATTCAAGACAGAGATGACCCAGACAGGTGAGAAGAAGGATGGTTCCTTCCTGCCCCTGCCAGATCCTCAATTTCCCCACTAATCCCACTTTTCCGAGGGATTCAGACCAATCCCTGCTTTCCAGCTCCCACAGGAATTCAGCAGCCCAGCCCCTTCCAACCCAAACTGCTGATTCCATGATTACAGAGACAATTGACATGTGGGAGGAGAACGACGGTTCCTTCCTCCACCTTCCATCTCCCCTCCACAAGCCCAATTTTCCCCACTAATCCCACTTTTCCAAGGGATTCAGACCAATCCAGGGTTTCCAGCTCCCACTGGAACTCAACAGCCCCTTCCAACCCAAACTGTCCAATGATTCAGTGACTCAAGGTGGACGTGACCGACCTGGGTGAGGAGAACAATTCCTTCCTCCCCCTTCCAGTTCCTCCCCACTAGCCCACTTTTCACACTTTTCCCCACTAATCCCCCTTTTCCAAGGGATTCAGACCAGTCCCTGCTTTCCAGCTCCCACAGGAATTCAGCAGCCCAGCCCCTTCCAACCCAAAGTGCTGATTCCATGATTCCAGACCAAGACAATTGACGTGGGGGAGGAGAACAATTCCATCCTCCCCCTCCCTCTCCTGGGCTCAATTTACAGCAACCGGAGCGTTTTCCAAGGAATTCCAGCCAATCCAGGATTTCCAGCTCCACCACAGCCTGGAAACCCAGCTACAAACCACACTTTGGGGTGGGGCATCCCAACATCCCAACATCCCACCGGGATCTATCCCAAAATCCCAACATCCCACCGGGAGCCATCCCAAAATCCCACTGGGATCTATCCCAACATCCCACCGGGAGCCATCCCAAAATCCCAACATCCCACCGGGATCTATCCCAAAATCCCAACATCCCACTGGGATCTATCCCAACATCCCATTGGGAGCCATCCCAACATCCCATTCCCGTTTTTTCTGACCCCATTCCAGGACTCCCTGACCCCATTCCCATTTTTCCTGACACCACTCCATGATTTCCTGATCCCATTTCAGGTTTTCCTGACCCCATTCCCATTTTCCCTGACCCCATTCCCATTTTTCCTGACCCCATTCCATTTTTCCTGACCCCATCCCACAATTCCTTGATCCCATTCCATGATTTCCTGATCCCATTTCAGGATTTCCTGACCCCATTCCCGCTTTTCCTGACCCCATTCCAGGATTCCTTGATCTCATTCCAGGATTTTCCAATACCATTCCATGATTTCCTGGCCCCATTTCAGGATTTCCTGACCCCATTCCAGGATTCCCTGACCCCATTCAGGAATTCCTGGACCCCATTCCAGGATTCCCTGACCCCCCATCCCAAAATTCCAGGATTTCCTGACCCCATTCCAGGATTCCCTGACCCCATTCCCGTTTTTCCTGACCCCATTCCCATTTTTCCTGACCCCATTCCACAATTCCTGGACTCCATTCCTGTTTTCCTGACCTCATTCCAGGATTTCCTGACCCCATTCCAGGATCTCCTGATTCCCATCCCTAAATTCCATGATTTTCTGACCCCATTCCTGGATTCTCTGACCCCATTCCCGTTTTTTCTGACCCCATTCCAGGATTTCCTGACCCCATTCCAGGATTCCCTGACCCCATTCCACAATTCCTTGATCCCATTCCAGGATTTTCCAATACCATTCCAGGATTCCCTGACCCCATTCCAGGATTCCCTGACCTCATTCCAGGATTTCCTGACCCCATTCCAGGATTCCTTGACCCCATTCCAGGATTTCCTGATCCCATTCCAGGATTTTCTGACCCCATTCCAGGATTTCCAGGGTTCCTGCTTTCAGATCCCAGGCTTGTGATTCCCAGAAAATTCCCAAGGTTTTCCCAAGGGGTTCCTGCTGCCAAATCCCAGGGTTGTGATTCCCAGAAAATTCCTGAGTGCCTCATCCCAAGGTTTTCCCAGGGTTTTCCACGGAAAAAGCGGGGGGGGGGGGGGGGAGAAGGAGGTGGAGGTTGATCAACAAAGAAGGGGAATTTTTTGGGATGGGATTGGGATGGGATTGATGGGATACCTGGGATGGGATGGGATTGGGATGGGATTGGATGGGATTGGGATGGGATTGATGGGATGGGGTGGGATGGAGTGGGATACAGGGATGGGGTGGGATGGGGTGGGATTGATGGGATGGGATAGGATGGGATGTGATGGGATGGGATGGGATATCTGGAATGGGATATCTGGGATGGGATTCCTTCTCAGCCTGGAGAAGGGAAAGGATCCAGGAAAAACCTTGGAGCTCCTTCCAGGGCCTGGGGGGGCTCCAGGAATTCTGGAGAGGGATTTGGGATGAAGGATGGAGGGACAGCACACAGGGAATGAATTCCCAGGGTTGGGTGGGATATTGGGAAGGGATTCCAGGATGGGAGGGTGGGGAGGGGCTGGGCTGGAATTCCCAGAGAATCTCTGGATGCCCCTGGATCCCTGGGAGTGTCCCAGGCCCCATCCCGATTATCCACGAAAAGCAGAGGAGGCAGAGCCCAAAATCCCAGAAAAAAAACCAGGGAATTTCTCCCTGGAAAATTCCTCTCCTTGCAGCCCAATCCCTGAGGAGGAGCAGAATTCCCTTTGGGAATCAACTCCCTGGGAAATCCTGGAAAAATCCCTCCCAAAATCCCAGGAATTTTGGGGGTTTTGGTTCTGGTTTTAAAGGGGGGGTTTAAAGGGAAACGAGGCAGGAACAGCTGGAAAAAAAAGGGATAAAATTGGGATGAGGGGGTGGAAGGAAGAGTGGCCTGAGGGGTCAGAATTCCTGCTCCAAAATCCCTGGAAAACTGCCCACAAAATCCCTGGAAAACTGCTCCAAAATCCCAGGAAAACTGCTCCCAAATCCCTGAAAAACTGCTCCAAAATTGCTCCCAAACCCCTGGAAAACTGCTCCAAAATTCCCAATAAAACTGCTCCCAAAATCCCTGGAAAACTGCTCCCAAATCCCTGGAAAATTCTCCCAAATCCCTGGAAAACTGTTCCAAAAATCCCTGGAAAATTGCTCCAAAATTCCCAATAAAACTGCTCCCAAAATTCCTTAAAATTGTTCCAAAATCCCTGGAAAACTGCTCCCAAAATCCCTGGAAAACTGCTCCCAAATCCTGGAAAACTGCTCCAAAATTCCCAATAAAACTGCTCCAAAAATCTCTGGAAAACTGCTCCATAATTCCCAATAAAACTGCTCCCAAATCCCTGGAAAACTGCTCCTAAAATTCCCAGGAAAACTGTTCCAAAATTCCCAATAAAACTGCTCCAAAAATCCCAATAAAACTGCTGCCAAAATCCCTGGAAAACTGG